GCTGAACCGAGGCAACCTTAACAAGAAAGAGATTCTTGCCTTGTACGAAACTCACCTTCTCCAGAAATCTTGAGTTCCTCCTCTTTTGTACAGCGGTGGAGGTAAGTTAAAACACCAAAGAGATTTGGAACAGAATCGGATTTAGCGAAAGCCTGACTTAGTTGTGTTTCTCTAACTTCGAAGTAAGCAAGTGGTCTTGTTATGATTTAGGGTTTAAAGGGAGTGTCCTTGCTTCGGTACTATCTCTGTGGCTCCTTTTTTTTTTTGGACTTTTGACTTCGATATGATTTTTTTTTTTGCTCTACTTTGACCCGTTTTTTTTGTTTTCTTTTTGGTGTCGTCGGTCGTAGAAATGATTCTAGAACTTTTACTTTTTATATATTATTTCTATATATTTAAAAATGGTCTGATTGTATGCGGATTATTCATTCTTTGGTGTAACCGTTGCCCCGAAGGAAAGTAAAGCTGTATGCATAGGCTTTATCACCACGAAATTTACAGGCAAGGTTGCTGTGTGCTGCGTATTGCATGCCGTTAGATTTGGGTGGGTTACACTTAATTAATTTTTTTTTATAAAATATTTACACTAATTAATTAACTGTTCCATCATGTTTAATCTTGAAGGGGAAAGAAGTGAGTCAGATAGCCATACAGAAGAGATGCCTTGTTCAACACGGTATCGGATTAGGTCGACCGTCCAATTTTGACGAACTCTCCCTCCTCCAAAGTCCAAACCTAAATTAAATTCCCATATTTACCCCCTTCTCCTTCCAGGAATCCATCAACTTCTCCGTGGATTTCCCCGTACACTTGACCCGTCATTTCTCACACATGAATGTCAAATATTTTCTTTATTTCATTTTCAGTTTAGATATACACTTTTATATTTCGAAAATATACGAAATTTTTTTCTATGAAAATATATTTACCCCAAAATGCTGATCAACACGGAAAATCAATACACATCCACATTCGACGACACTTTTCTTCAGGGCGAAAAAGAATAATGTATGTACACCGTATACCACTTCAATTACCCAAAACTTCTACGATGATTTCGTATCTAACCCGTAAAAATTTTAATTTCTCAGAAAAACCCCACAATTTACCAAATCGATCAAATCAACCCCCTTCCCCTTCCCTCTCCACACTGCTCAAAATGGCGGCGACCTGAGAAATAGAAGGCCGACTCCTCCGCGAGTTCCCGACGCACGCCAAAGCGACCTTAGCCATTCTTAGGACAAGACACTTAATCTCACTCTCCACCACGATTCTCGGATCCAAAAACTCCCCAAATCTCTGTTCTTTGATCATCGGCGCTGCCCATTTCACCATCAATCCGTTCTCGCTCCTTCTCCCGCTCAAAATCTCCAGCAACACAACGCCAAATCCGTAGACATCGCTCTCCTTGCCGTACCCTTCCTCCACGCACCCCGCAATCCCCGATTTCTCATGCGGCACCAAAAACCCGAATCCGTAATCCGAAAGCCTACCCGAAAACTCCGCGTCGATCAATATGTTCGAAGATTTGATCCGTCCATGGACGATGCTAGGGTTTATCCCTTCGTGCAAGTACTCCAAACCTCTGGCAACTCCGGCGGCCACTCTGAAACGCTTCCTCCATTCCAACGCCGCCGCATCCTCGCCGGAATTTGAGTCTCCGTGCAAGTAGAAATCGAGATTCTTCGCCGTTCCGACGAACTCCGTCAGGAAGATTCTCTCCCCCGGAGCTTCTGAGAACCCTAGAATGGAAACGATGTTCGGGTGCTGCGCCAAAGAGAGGGTTCTCAGAACAGAGGAGAAACCGGATCCCGGTTTACTCAAAACCAGACCGGGGTGTATCCTCTTGATCGCCACGAGCTGGTTATCTCCGGGCAAAACCGCCGCGTAGACCGTTCCTAACCGGCCTCGACCGATGATTTGTCGCTGGTTAAACCCGTCGGTCGCGGCGTCTACATCGGTTAAGGGATAGGAGCGTGCAACCGGTTTGGTCTCCGGAAGCAGAGATTCTTCGGACCGGACCGGTTTTCTCCTGCAGAGGAGGAAGAGGAGGACGGCGAGGACGAGAAGAGAGACTGAAAGCAGAGACAGAACGGAAGCGTAAGCGATTTTCTCAGATTTGTCCATTTTTCCTTCAACAAAAAACAAGTTCAATTTTTGGTGAATGAAATTTGATATGATTGGGTATATATGTATATATGCGCATATATATTTATGCACATAAATTAAATACATACGGTCAAAAGAGACAAAAATGGAATAATAGTTAGATATTCAACTAATATTTTTGGGGTCATTTATTTGAAAAATATGTAGCATTCACCACTTCAGAAATGGAATATTGTTCACAATATAAACAAGTAATCATTTATAAAATATTATCAATTTACACTTTTTATGTATTTCTCCCACAAAAAATAAGTTATTAGCGCAATGGAATTCGGGTTTTCTATTTTATTTATTTTTTTCTGCAATCCTTGGTAGGTTCCGTGGATGAACAGCGTCACCCATATTATATACAATATATATATATATATATATATATATATATATATATATATATATATAT